GACTCTTGGGACCCCCTGCACATCATGGCCTTGGTCCCACAGTGACCATGTTATAGTGGCTATAATTGTTCCACTGTGCAAGACAGTCATGAGTAGCATGTAAAGAATGATGAGATCTGGGACCAGCAGTTAGCATAACGGCTATGTCGCTGGACTCCCATATAGTCGACCGCGGTTTGAGTCTGAGAACCAGTGGTTTAGATTCACGTTGAGTGCGAGTGTGCCTAAGATCCCGAGAGGAGAATGGAAGAGAAGGGATTGTTGCATGGCCATCCCCCCTGGGGGGTGATTTCTTGCTTTCTGTCTCTCTGGGTCTTTCTGGCGAGTACACACACCCTATAGCCAAAAAAAATAAAATAAAAAAATAAAATCAATGCAACTAAATAAGTAATTCTGTAAAAAATGTTACCCATCTTTTGGTGGTAGTATTATTGATCATTTTATTATTCACACTATTTTCCAAATTTTCTGTTAAATATCATATTCAAGAAATTTTTAAAACTCAGAAACTATAGAAAAGAATATTTTATTGAAACAGTTCCTCATTTACCAATGGGGCAAAGTACAATTTGACTCCAACCTGTCCAGCCAGCCTCAACTGCTAATGAGAGAACTCACACATAGAAGAGGAAGGGTTGGGGCTGGGGACCCTCAGGTCCCGTTTCTGCCAATGTGGCAAAAAAAAAAAAAAAAAAACGGGTGGGGGTTAGAATGACTGACAACTAGGCTCACCCTTGAGTGGAGTGGGTGGCAGCCCCAGCCCCTGCTAGACAGAATACTGAGGACAGGCCGCAGGCGGGGCGTGGGGTCAGGGCCCATCCCAGGAGTGATGAGCGCCAGCAAGGCCAGCCCTGACCTCTCCCTTCACCCACAAAGCCTCCCTCGAAGAGCCAGGCGGCTCTTGACATTCACAGGGCGGTCTCTCCTCTCCTCTCCTCCCCCCAGCCTCCGGTCAGGGGCTCACAGTAGAAAGCACATTTTGGTCAGCCCAGGGGACAGGTGAGGGAAGGGCTGTCTGAGAGGGGCAGAACAGGAGAAAGGGACAGATCTTCTCAGGAACCAAGGCCGCAGGCTACCGGGGGCAGTGCTCGCAGGACACTGGCATCCCAGGCCAACCGGGCCACGGCTCCAAAGGCCGCAGGTGGGTGCTCCTGGCGTTGACCCAGCGCAGCCTGGGCTGGGTGGGGGTGATTCCCTTTGCTTTCTCCTTGGCTCCTCTGGCCACCGCTGGCCTGCGTGCAGGCAGGAATACTTCCAGGCTTACTTCAGAGGGAAGGGCTTTGGGCGAAGGGGCAGAGAACTGCCCGACTTGCACCAGGAAGCCGTGGGAAGAGGGGCCAGATGAGAACAGGGGTGGGAGGGCAGGTTAAGAGAAGACCTTGGAAGGGGGAAAAACACCCAGAAACCAAGTCAGATCATTGGGGCTGTGTAGCCACGGACCTAGGTGGGGCCCTGATTTCATGGAGGGAGAGAGGAGAGGAGGGAGGAAGGAGGACCAGAAAGGAATGGGTTCTTCAATATCCCAGGACATCCTTCCCACCCCCAGGTCTCGGCCAACCACTGACAGCCACTCTCCCACCTACCCACAGGCTCGGTTAAGACAGAATAGTGATTCTTCCCAAATGTAGGCCCTGGATGGGCAGGGACCAGGGGGTGGGGCTGGGAAAGAACGGTTTGTCTTCCACCACCGAGATGTTCCAGAAGGAACTGCCAGGCTGTTCTTCCCTTTCCGGCCTGCACACCCCCAATCACAGGAGAGAAAGGGAGCCTACGTCCCCAGGGGACCCACTGCTCCCCCACCCTGGATGTTTAATAAATAGAGGTGGCAGGGGAAGGGGGCAGAGAGGAGCGGGGAAACGGGCGGTGGGCGTTATAGTTCATCGTTCTTTGATGGTCGCGTCTGTCCTGCCGGCTCCTGTTCAGATTCTGTCGGGGTTGGGAAGAACACGGGGACTGCAGCAGATGAGGCGAGCACCGGCCCCAGTCCCTGGTGGGTATTTCCCCTCGGACCCCACCCAGCCTCCCAGCCTACCCCGGCTCCACTCTCACCTGCTCCAGGGCCTCCCAATTCCAGAGGCTCGGTGTCTGTGGGCTCAGATCCTGCTTTTGGGAAGGAAGAGGTTAGTCTCTGTAGAGGACAGGGAGAGGCAAATGGAGGGGTTGTCATATTTTTGAAGACCCAGCTAGTGAAATTTCAGACTCCGGGGGCCACATTTGGCCTCTTTATGGGTTTTCAGAAGCAGGCCCACCAGCGCCCACAATGGACGAATGCGATGTGTGGTTTTCCTAGCCCTGGTTCCCCCACTCACGAGTCTCTACTTTCTCAGGCTCCGAAATGGGCTTTGCGTCTTCAGCCTGGCCTGGAGGGAAACCAGGAGTAAGATGTGGCCCCAGGAGGGAAACGAGGCTTTCTCCCTGTCCAGGACGACCTGGGGCCAGGCGCCTGCCCTCACCTGCTGGGGGGATGACCTTCTCCCCCTGGTCACTCGCACTGGCGTTAAGGGGAGGTTCTGCTCGCGTCCCGTTCTTGTCCTTGGGCCGGGGCCGGGGCTTGGCGATCTTGGCCTTGTTGAGTAGATACTGCACCTCGCGGTCCAGGGCCATCATCTTGGCCTCGATGTCTTTGGAAAGCAACACGGGCTTCTCCGTGGCAGGGAGCCTGGCCTGCTCAGCCACAGTTGTGTTCTTCCAGGCCTGCGATTGGGGAGAGGCGGGGCGGGCAGGGTGAGAGTGGGCCGAGATGGACTCAACCCTAGACAGTTCCGGCTCTTCCTGGCTGGCAGCCCTGGGGCAACCGACTCAGAAAGGCACACAAGCGCTCCATGATGGAGTCCTACTCTTGTGACCCGACTGCCGTTCCCTGACTCTGGGTGAGAACTAGGCTGTTCCTTCTCTGCCTCTCCCCTTCTAAACTGTGACTCAAAACTGAGACCCCTGGAACTAGCAGATGGCATGATGGTTATGTCACTGGACTCCTACATAGTCTACTGTGGTTCAAGTCCCGGACACGGCAGCTTAAAACTCATGCCGGGCAGGGAATCAGCAGTTAGCGTAATGGCTATGTCGCTGGACTCCCACATAGTCGACCGCAGTTCGCGTCCTGGGCCTGGTGGCTTAAAACTCACGCTGGGTGCGTGTGCGTGCCTGCCCAAGATCCCAAGAGGAGAATGGAGGAGAAGGGATTGCAGCGTGACCATTCCCCCCGGGGGGTGATTTCTCGCTTTCTGTCTCTATGTCTCTCTTTGTCTGGCGAGCACACACGCCCTATAGCGAAAATCTCTCAAAAAAAAAAAACCCAAAAACAACACAACAAAAAACTCATGCCAGACACATGTGCATGCATGCCAAGACCCCGAGAGGCCGGTGTGGCCATACCCCCCGGGGGGGAGGGGTGTGATTTCTCGCTATCTGTCTGTCTCTCTAGCGAGCGCACACGCCCTATAACAAAATTCTCTAAAAAGACAGCCCCGAGATCTGAATAGGCTGCCTCACGTGTAGTCACTTGTACTGACCCGAGCCCTGGCCCATCTCGGAGCCCAGCTCAAACCTCGGTTCCTCGGAGCAGGTTCTCTAACCTCCTGCACGTGGGCTCTGCCGCTCCCCTAGGCCGATGGCACTTAGGGCCTTGCCCCATCTGAGGCTGGCTGACGTGAGCTGGTTTGCCAGTGTCCTTCGCCTGCCCACTCACATGCTTGCAGCAGGCCTGACTCTCTGCGCACCCTACACCGCCCAGGTGCCAGCAGAACACGTACACGGACTCACCCAGGTCTCGTTGATGACTTTCTCTAACGTGGTCATCTCCACCTCTGTGAAGATCTGGTCCATCTCTGGGATGAGCCGGGCGCCCCTGGAAGCCGGAAAGGAGACAGTCAGCCCAAAGCCTGGAAGAGTAGCCTGGGGCGTGGGGATGGGGCACTGGCAGGGCCAAGGCAGGGTCTTGGTGGGACTACAGAAACAAAGGGCACAGGTGCTCACTTGAGGAATATGCTGGAATGGTTGAGCAGGTTCTCGAGAGCAGACAGCCGCTCCGGCCACTTCTTGCGCTCCTCCACCCGGAAAAACAGGCCCTGGCACAGTTTCCTCAGCTCTGCCAGCTTCTCCTTCAGCATCTGACGGGCGGGGGTGCACAGAGGGTGAAGGGAAGATGGGGAACCCTTCGGTCCTCATACCTCGGCCCATCTCGCACTCTCTGACCCTGAGAGAGGCAGCAGAGCTCCCACCTGCCCTCCGCATCCCAGGAGGCCCCTCACCACAGTGGTGGCCCCAAAGCCCTCGTCTTCCAGCCAAGTGGACGCAGCACTGAGCTTCCCAGAGATCTCCTCCCGCTGTTCCTCAGTGGACACTTCCTGGTACTCGGGCTGGTACAGCTTGTCCTAGGGAGGGACACGCACATGCATGCAGCAGCCAGAGGGCAAGGCTCACACCAGAAGCTCCCAGACCCAGACCCAGGGCCGGGGAGTGCCACCTCCCAGCCGGCCTACCTGGGTCTCAAAGATGAAGGCTTCCAAGCTGTTGGCAGCTTTCTCCCGTTCCTGCTTCTCCAGGTCTCGGAGGGTCAGGTCCTGAAGCCTGTGGGACCAAGGGGACACAAGGATGAGGGAGAGGGATGACAGGTCGCTCCCTCCTTCCCAGAGGTGCCATTCCACACCCCATTGACCTTGTGCGCACATGCACATACACGCACACGCATGCCCACACACACATGTACGCACACTCACACGTGCATTTGTGGCCTACGTACTTCTGCACCGACCGCGCCAGCTCATCCTCTGGCACGTCAGGCAGGTCCAGAACAACCAGCTCCACCCCGATCTCCTCCACCATCTTCTGCTTCCGGGCAGGCTTCTGCTTCTTCTCTTCCTCTGAAGCCGGAGGGACACCCTCAGGCCCTGCCTCCCCCTTCTCACTCGGCTTCTGGGTGGGGAGAGTCAGGATGTCAGGAAGAGACAAGGCCTTTGCACACTCCCCACCCCTGGGTGTCCACTCCCTCGGCCCCTGGCTCTACCCCGGCCTTGCTGCCCACAGCCCACCTGGGCCTCAGCCTTGTCCTCATTCTCTTTTTCCGAGGCTTTTTCTCCTTCAGGGGCTGGGTCCCCCTTGGGCTCAGGGGGCGGGGGCTGAGAGGTATCCTCCGCTGGGGCCTCAGCTTCCTCCTTGAGCTCCCCCTGCTCCCCAGCCTCATCCTTGCTCCCCTCAGCAGGGCTCTCCTCTTCTTCCTGGGAGACAGCACAAGCACCCCACAGTCAGCAGCCAGCAGCACAGCCTCCAGGGCAGGCCTGGCCTCAGAGGGCCAGATGCCCAGGCGCTGCTCTGACAGCACGCAGTGCTCGGGACACGGCCTGGGGCAGAGAGACCACAGCTGTGTGCAGCGGTAGGTGGCCGGTCCAGCTGCAGAGGGGGAAAAGGTCTGGAGGTGAGGCAACAGGCTGTGGGGCAGCTCGGAGTTCAGAGACGGAGGAGGGTCTGGGCAGCTTGGCATGGCTGGGAGGGAAGCCATGGCCACCCGATTCCCTACCTCTGCCCTGCCAGCTGCCCCCAAATGCCATCCTCCAGGATGTTTCAGCTCCACCCAGAGCTTACCTGGACAGTATCAGTACCATTCTCCTTGGCATCTGGGGTGGTACTGCCTCCAAACAGGCTGGAGATGGTATTGCCAAGCTCTAGGGGGAACAAAGCCCACAGACTCAAGGAAGAAGCCGAGGGCAACACCCTGCCCACCTCCCCAGGCTACACACAGATGAGCACGCGCACGTGTGCACACGCTCTCTTACTAGTGAGAGTTGACTCTTCTTCCGGGCTGTCCTCCACCAGTGTCTCGAACACAGACTCCACCTAGAGACAGAGGTTCAAGATGAGGACACAGCGCGTGCCCGGTGTGCACACCGACGGGACATGCAGCTGCACGAGTCCTTCCTGAGCACCCCTCAAGCATCGCTGCACCCTCTTTGGTTGTGAGCCCTCTGAGGAGGAGACCTCAGTGCCCTCCCCTCAGAGCCCCCACTTCTCCACTCAGTGCCAGTCGCCCTTTCCCACAGCGTGCTTTTGGAGGCGTTCATCCCCCTAACTTCTTTCCCAAATGGGCTCCTCGACCGCTCCACAGTTCCTGCTAAGAGATCCTCGCCTCCCACAGGCACTCGCAGGCGGCAGACAGGCCCACGCCGGCTCCCTGGGAGCTCCACCCAAAGCCACAACTGCCCCGATGCCAAAGCCCTTCCTGCCTACCCCGTCCCGACACCAGGTGTAGACGCTGCCCGCCCTCGCTCTCACCCTGTCTAGACTGAGCACACCGCTCTCATCCAGGTTGAAGTGGGCCTTGATGCCCTTGGACTCGTGGTCGGGGTACTTCTTGAAGCTCTCACCTACACCCTTTAGTTTCACTGTGGTCAGGTTCTGGGAGCCAAACACCCTGGTTGGAGAAGAAAGAGGAGTCTGAGGGGATCCACCAGTCTGCCCCGGGGTTATATAACCTCTCGGTACAAGACGTCAGGAGCTTGCCCTCAGGATCTGCTGACAACCTAACCCCAATCCCACAGCCCACCTTCTCTGTCCAGTCCTGTCAGTCCATCCACTCCCCCCAACCCTCAGCTCATCTGGTAGCCAGGACTCCCCTCCCTGGAGTGCCCACTATGCCCTCTGACTGCCTCTCACCGAAGATCTTCGGGCCCCAGGAAGCCCAGGTCACCATAGTTGATGTGGAAGTTGAAATCGTGGCTGTAGCGGTTAAAGGTGATCACTTTGCGCTGAGGGTAGGGCCCCATACGGGAGAAGAGCACGCGTTTGTTGTGCTTCAGGCTGCGGAGGCCAGACTCTTCCTCCACCTCCCTGGTGAACTCCACCTACAGCAGACAGAGGGCAGGCACTGTGGGGAACCCCGCCACCCCACTCCCTCCGGGCCGACTCAGCAGAAGAACACAGGGACAGGTGAGAGGAGCAGGAGGTGAGACCACACACGGAGAGGTCACGGTGGTTGGTCACCCAGCTCATGGGCTCACTCACCAGGATGGGGTAGACCACGGCGTCACGGACCACAAACGGCTTCACCTTGAAAGCTTTGCTCAGTGCAGCCGCCTGGTACACGGCCCCCATGGCGGCTGCTTCGTCCGCATTGATGTTCTTCCCCAGCTCCTCCCTGTGAAAGCCCCAAGCTTCAGCACCCAGGAGGCCCTACCTGCCCGGCCCTGTAGCCCTGTCCCAGGCTGAATGAGGCCGGATGTCCTGGCCCCCGCACTCACTTGCCCACAGCCTTCAGCAGCACCTCCTGGACTTTGGGGACCCGAGTGGCACCCCCCACCAGGATCACCTGCTCGATCTCCTCCTGCAAAGAGGACAGCACTCAGTGAACCCTCCTCCGCCGCCCAGCTCCTCGATGCCCTGCATCTCCTGCCCCGCCCCCACTGGGCACCCTGTCCCCCAGCCCCTTACCAGACTCATCTCAGCGCTCTGCAGGGCCTGCTGCACGGGCCCGGGCACCCGCTCAAACAGGTCTGCACACAGCTCCTCAAACTCCGCGCGCGTCACTTTAGCCTTGAAGTCCACATCGTCCATCAGGCCCTCGATCTGGAGGAGGGTGTGAGGTGTCAGGAAGTTTTCGTCCCAGCTCTGCCCTCTGGACCAGCAGGACAGACACCAGGGGGACTGAGAAGAGCAGGCTGGGCCAGACCAGGGGCCCGCAACCCAGCTCTGGAGGGCAGGGTCCTCCGCAGGGCGGGGTCCTCCATCCTCTCAGGGGCAGGTTGCCCTTGACCGGCCACACACCTGCGCCATGTGGTCTGCGTTGGCACTCAGCACAGTCTTGAGCCGATTAGCCTCACGCAGCAGCTTGGCCATGGCGCGTGGGTTGTCTCGCACGTCCTTTGCTCCCTGGCCCTTGCGCTGCTCGTTGAAAAGCCCAGCCAGGTGCTCACGCAGCCGGAGCTCCATCTCCAGGCCACCCAGGGTGCGGTCAAACCTGCTCAGAAGAGGGATCAGGACAAAGTATGAGTAGCCCACGGAGTTCCTCCACCTGCACAGGAGTCCGACTCCCAGCCCCACATGGTAATGTCTCTGTTTCAAGGGACACTTGTACCCCAGATGCCCAAATATGGACACATGCTATCCTCAGCACGGATGACACCTCATTGTGACCGCTCCCCACACACTAGTTCAGAAGTCGCTGAGCTGCAACTACACACCCGGCTCAAGGGAACGGGAATGTGGCGGGGTGCAAGGGGAAACGGCACCTGCTGTTAAGGGGTTCACAATCTGGTCGTCAGATAACCAGAGAGAAATAAAGCAGTGACCGCCCCACGTGCTATGAAAGAGAGGCAGATGAAGATGGTAAAGCTACACTGGGAGGGGTCCAGCAGTTGGCATAATGGCTAAGTTGCTGGACTCTCATGTAGTTGACCGCAGTTCGAGTCCCAGACCCGGTGGCTTAAACCCATGCTGGGCGCATGTACATGCGTGAACAAGATCCCAAGAGGAGCATGGAGAAGGGACTGCGGCATGGCCATCCTCCCGGGGGTGATTCCTCACTTTCTGTCTGTCTGTCTTTCTGGCAAGCACACATGCCCTATATTTAATCCTCTCCAAGGTAAAGTAGGTGAAGAGGAAAGATGCTGTCAACAGGGGGTCGCATGTGTGAGATCGGAGGCAGGAGAGCGTGTGGAAAGTTCCACAGGAGGGCAGGCATCTCTGGGGCTCACGGAGTGAGAGGGGCCAAGTGAGAGACAGGGTTAGGGTGGCAGGAGGCAGGGCTCCTGCCCTCAGGCACAGGTAAGGAGCCACTGAGAGCTTTTGAAAAAATGAGTTACAACTGTATTTTATTTTATTTTGCCACAAGGCATGTGCAGCTGCTAAAGAGAAAGTGTGAGAGAGGGAGAAGGTACCCACTGGAGTGTGGTCACGCCACTGTCCCTTCTCTTGCATTTCTCCACCCCATTGGGATTTAAGGCATGCACATACATGTGCCTGACATGTTCAAGTCACTGTGCCCAGGACTTGAACCATGCAGTTGGCATGTAGGATATGGCTGCCTTAACCCCTGGGCTATGGAGCTAGCCCTGGAGGTGCATTTGGTTGTTCTTTTTTGTTTTTGTTTTTGTTTTTTTTTAATTTGCTATAAAGCACGTCCACTCACTGGAGACAGAGGAAGAGAGAGAGAGAGATAGATAGAGAAAGTGCCTTCCAGGAAAGATGGTTCTGCCGCAATTCCTTCTCCTCCATGCTCCTCTTGGGACTTTGGGCAGGCACACACACGTGCCTGGAGTGTTTTTCAAGCTGCTGGGTCTGGGACTCAAACTGCACTGTCAGCCATGTGGGATCCAGCCACCTTAACTACCATGCCACCTTGGTGGCCCAGGGTTCTTTTTTAAATGCCACCTGTAGGGCTGGCCTTGTTGCCTAGTGGTTAAGGGAGTCAGATCCCACATGGCCAACAGCAAGGTCTGAGTCCCAGACTCATGGCTTGAGGAACACGCTCGGTGTGCGTGCATGCATGTCCCAAAGCCCAAAATGAGGAAGTGGGAAAAAGGTCAAGGAATGACATCCCCTACAGCGGGTGCTTTCTCCTCACCTCTCTTCATTTCTCTATGTCTCTGGCAAATGCATATTCCTTCTAGCAAAACTTAAAAAAATAATAGGGACCAGCAGGTGGCATGGTGGTTAAGGTGCTGGACTCCCATGTGGCTTACTGTGATTCAAGTCCCAGACCCAGCAGCTTGAAAACCATACTGCGTGAGTGCACATACATGTCCAAAATCCCAGGTGTGGCCATCTCCCCCAAGTGGAGAGGGGTTTCTCACTTTCCCTATCACTGTCTCTGTCTCTCTCTAGCAAGCACACGCATTCTATGACAAAAACCTTTAAAAAAGGTTAAAACTTAAATGAAATTAAATAATAAAAGAACTCTCTGAGGGCTATGTGGAGAAAAAGCTGAAAGGAGACGTGATTGGAGGAAGACCCTTTCTAATTCTGCACGTGAGGGGAAGAGTACCATGGACCAGTAGGGGAGTGGTGAAGGGGGATAGGGAAAAGACGTTCATGAAATAGGACGTCCACAGTCTTAGGTTATCTGAGTACGCGAGAAATGACGAGAGAGCCCAAAAATGAGGGGATCCGACTCTCTACGAATGACCTGGGCCTTGAGGATTTCTTTAGAATAAGTGCAGGAAGGGCCTTCCCTTCCAATCTTTCCTTCTCTCCAGCTCCCCTGACTCTTTGTGACTTGACAATGCCTGCTGATTTAACCAGCAGAGCCTTCCTTCAGGAAGCAGGAAAGGGAAGCAGCTGCCCCCCAGAATTACCCCAGACCTCAGGGTCTTAACAAGAAGCCCTCGCCCTTGCACCCACTTACCCCACTCCCCGGATCTGCAGCTGAGGCTGCATTCCAGCCTCCTTGGTCTTCACTGTCTGGTAGGTGACAATGGTGCACACGGTGCTGCCTGAGCCCATGTCGTAGAACATGACATTCTGTAGACATCAACACAACTGTCACGGGACCCTTATCCAACTCCAGGGGCTGCCTGCCTGGCTGCCTGCCTCCAAGTGACAACCTGACCCCAACATAAAGCTGAACAACTCCCACAAGGCCTGAGAGCAGGCTGCTGCTGCACTTGGCCTAGGGCCATGCAAACAAAATGCAAATTGGCCTAAGTGACCTCAGCCGGGGCCACCCTGCCCGTCTGGTCTGCTCGGAGGTCTCCCCAGCTCACCTGGGCAGTGGTGTTGATATCTTTCCGGCGGAAGACACCGTAGCTGAGGGCAGTGGCGGTGTTGTCGTTGATGAGCTGTAGCACTTTGAGGCCAGCCATGCGCGCGGCCTGCAGCACAGCTCGGCGCTCGGCTTGGTTGAAGAAGGCTGGCACGGTGATCACTGCATCCTTGATGGGCTGCTCTGAGAGGGCAACAGACAGGCTCCCACCCCCTCCACACCTTGGAGCCATGGCCCCGGCACTAACTTTCTGGTCAGGTATCTGTTTGCGGTGAGAGATGGCCCACATCCACACTTCAGGAGCCATGGCCCCCAGCACTGCTAGCTTTCTGGCCAGGTATCTGCTGGAAGTGCTGTCCCACACACTGGCGGGTGTCTCTGCTACCCATTAGATGCCAGGAGCATCTCCTCAGTGTCCCTGCACTGGAGAGGCACTGCCTCTGCTCTCGGGGAGCCTGGCCACTATCGGGCCCAGCCTGGGCACGTACCTGCAAAATCTTCAGCCAGGGAGCGGGAGTAATTGAGAACCATGCCCAGCACTTCCTCAGGTGAGAATTGCAGCTGCCTGAGGTGGAGGCAAGGAAAGCCAGGCTTCAAGTCGGGATGATCACGAACACGCACCAAGGAGGAGCCCGATGGGGCTGACATGCGGCACTCACGGGCTGATCTGGAAGCGCACGGTCCTCCTCTCTGGATCGACACTCAGCTCGTGCTCTGGGAAACGTGCCCGGTAAAGGGCCACGTGGGGGTTATCTGCCTGTTTCCCCAAGAGGTGCTGGAAGTAACGCAGCGTAGCCTTTGGATTCTTGATGGCCTGAGAGGCGACAAGGACTAGGGTATTAGGCTCCTGAGCCCATCGTCACCTGAGGAGAGGCATCTTCCCACTCAGAGGTTGACATGGAAAGAGACTCTGGGGTCTCCATGTCCTCTCCTCTGTCCACTGCTCTGGGAGGGAGGGCTCTGGCTTACCATGCCTGCTGCACTGTCTCCAAAGAATCTTTCATTTTCTTTCAGGGTCACGGTCACTGGGGTTTTCCTCCGGGATTCCCTGGGGAAAAGAGACATCGGGCTCTCCAGCAGGATGTGGACTCGGAGCCTCCGGGCACACTCGCTCAGAGAAAGTCGGCCATGGGCACTTGGAAGAGCATGCACCCGTTGGGTGCCCGGATTCCCTGGTTCCCCCCCTCTTGACACCAGGGCCACACTCACTTGTTCAAGACGATCTCCATGGGCACTCCAGGTTTGACAATGGCTACTTTCATGGACTCGCTGCCCAGGTCCACAGACATCACCGCCAGCGTATCTACAGGGAAAACAGGTCTGTCAGTTAGCTCCCTAGCCCCCAGCTTCCTGAGTCCTCTTTAATCAAAACTTACCCATTTATTTTTTTAAATGATTTTATTAAACTTAATTAATGCATTTATTTATTTATTTAAATTTGACCAGAGAGGGACAGAGAGAGAGAAAGTGAGAAAGCAAGCCACCAGGTCTGGGACATGAACTGTGATCAGCCATGTGGGAGTCCAGCGCCCTTAACCACCACATCACCTGCTGGCCCCAAAACTTACCAATTTCTATGGAGAAAGAAAAATGGTAAGTGACAAAGAAAAAAGCCCAGGTCCAGCATCTCCAGAGACTTCTGAGCCAGAGCCCCGGAAGCCCTCCAACCTGAACCATTGCCCTTCTCTGTTCATCCCTCCACCCAGGTCCGTACCACTGAGTGCCAATAGGTCCGCCAGGAGCACAGCCACCAGGGCCCAACAGCCCACCATGGGCACTCCAGGTTTGACAATGGCTACTTTCATGGACTCGCTGCCCAGGTCCACAGACATCACCGCCAGCGTATCTACAGGGAAAACAGGTCTGTCAGTTAGCTCCCTAGCCCCCAGCTTCCTGAGTCCTCTTTAATCAAAACTTACCCATTTATTTTTTTAAATGATTTTATTAAACTTAATTAATGCATTTATTTATTTATTTAAATTTGACCAGAGAGGGACAGAGAGAGAGAAAGTGAGAAAGCAAGCCACCAGGTCTGGGACATGAACTGTGATCAGCCATGTGGGAGTCCAGCGCCCTTAACCACCACATCACCTGCTGGCCCCAAAACTTACCAATTTCTATGGAGAAAGAAAAATGGTAAGTGACAAAGAAAAAAGCCTAGGTCCAGCATCTCCAGAGACTTCTGAGCCAGAGCCCCGGAAGCCCTCCAACCTGAACCATTGCCCTTCTCTGTTCATCCCTCCACCCAGGTCCGTACCACTGAGTGCCAATAGGTCCGCCAGGAGCACAGCCACCAGGGCCCAACAGCCCAGCCTCCTCGGCCTCTGCTTCCTGACTGCAGCTGCCATCGTGCCCCTGGGGGAGGAGGAAAAACACACGCATAGATCTGGATGCCCCAGTGAAGGAGAGAGAATGGTGTCCCAGAGCAGAGAAGCCCAGATTCAGGCCTGCTCTATTCTCCAGGGCAGAGCCGGCACCCTCTGCCCTCCCTCCTGATAAGGGCCAACCAAACTCTAATCATCCCCAGAAATGCCCAAAGGACCAGGCAAAAGAACACGGTGCTTGCCTGCACATCCCTAATCAGAGACGGTAACCGGGCAGAGAGGAGACGAGAGACTTCAGTGCCCACAGGCAGGCGCCCCAGAACTGTGCCTGCGCTCAGATGCCCAGGGCTCACCACCCTCCCCACACCTGGAGCTCCTCGCCAGGAGGAAAGCCACACTGGGCCTCGAAGGGAACTGAGAAGTGATGACGTTGGGGGTGGCTGGGATGGAGAAGGGCCTGTCTCCTTCTCAGCATCCCTGTGGGTTGTCCCGCCCACTCCCCTTCCTCATCCCTCTCCCTGGCCCCGCTGCCCACACAGACGCCGTGCAGGGAGCAGTAAGGCTCCTCTCCGGGCAGGTATCTAGTACCCGGTGTTCACCTGACGAAGGCGGCGACTCCTGCTCCCGGAAACGGGTCCTGGCCCACCCCTAGCGCGTGGGGACGCCGGGGAGCCGAGCTGGGGGCCCGAAGAGCGGAGCGCCGCGCACCGGCGTCCCTGCGGCCCTCACTCCGGCTACCGACCCGCCCCCGGGACTAGCACGCTGCCTCCCCTCCGAGGGGC